TAAGTGACCATTCCCAGGGTCAGGTTGGCCTAAGAGGACAAAATAGAAGTGGAGGCTGAGTACAATTAGAGAAATGAAAATAGTCTGGGTTGGCGGGGCAGGGTGTTGAGGAGCTGGGTGAAAAAGGTGAAGTATAAAGTAGTAGTTACAAAATAGTCATGGGAATATAGTCAATAATATTGTAATAAGTATGTATTGTGCCAGATAGGTACTAGACTAATCTGGGAGATCACTTTGTAAATTATACAGATGTCTAACCACTATGCTATATACCTGAAACTAATGTAAAATAATATTGAATATCAGCTCTAATTTAAAAGAAAAAAGGGAAAAAAAGAGAAAGAAAATAGTCTTAGGACAGAATAGTGATTTAAGAGAAAGGGCTCTGTAGTCAGACCTGCTGAGTCTGAGTTTCAACCCTGCCATTACTGTGATCTTGGGCAAGTTATTTAACCTCTCTGGAAGCTGATGTCCTCTGTAAAACAGAGGCTATAGTAGTACCTATCTCAGAGGACTATCTTAAGTGAGATAATGAATGCAAAATGTTCAACACAATGACTAGCACATTGTATTAATATTCACTATGATGAAGCACAAGTTCTTTTCTTGCTAACCTTCTTGCAGAACAACTTTTGACAGGGCTCAGGGAGGCCCCAAGTCCCACCAAGCAAGCCTAGGGACAATGAAGCAGAATTATTAGCACTACCCTCTATTGGTTAAACCAGCTGAATGCTAGAGCTTTCTATACATCACAGGAAAGCCAAACATAAAGACCATCATATTTGCAAAAAAACACTAATAGATCTGGAACCTTCAAAGAGGCTCAAGCTCAAAAGGTAATCTCTGCAAAGACACACGACTCCATGGAGTTGGTTCAAAAAGGCAAAACCAAGAAATGCTAAGACACAGGGCAAATCCAAATTCCTCTCACCTAAATCAAGGTTACCTAAATCCAAATTCAGTTTAAATTATTTTCTAGAAGATAAGATCATTTACCTAACACTAACTTCTTAGCTTATCTCCAGCTTTCACTAACTAAACTTAGTGGGCTCTCCCTTTGAAGAGTTACCTCCTCTTAGTAAAAGGCTCAGGAAAATATGTGCATTAACCAAAATAGGAAGGTCAGACAGCGGAGGAAGCGAAGAAGTAAATAAAAAGAAATGTTTTCCAGGAATTATTTCTTCATTCAATAAATTAATGAGTATATATTATATGCTATGCAGTGTTCTAGGATCTGGGGCTACATCAGTAAACAAAACAAGACAAAATAGTATTCCTATTAGAAATAGCTTGCAAGAAAAAGAGATGCCTATGCTCTAGAATACCAGCTGGGGTAAACCCAACAGAAATAGAAATCCTATTCCTCTAATAAAATTGTAAACTTTCTGCTGACCCTCTCACATAAGTTGCATCTTTAATTATTGCCTTTAAACTAGTTTCCAAGAGCGGAGTTTCCTAGGCTGACACTGCTTCCCCAATCCAAAAATGAGGCAATCTGAGCACAAGGCTGCAGAGTAAACAAATTCTCCCACTGCTATCAACACCCTATAGGGCAAGTGTGGTCAATGTGACAGCTAAGGGCAATTTAAACACAACAATGCTCCCTTGCCCTCACACCTCAAAATACCCTCCAAGGGCTGCCCATCTTCTTTCTTGATCTATAGCAGTAGTCCTTAACCTTTACGGCACTGGTGCCCCTGTGAGAATCTAATGACTGATGATCTGAGGTGGAGCTGAGGCGGAAATGCTAGCTAGCGCTGGGGAGCAGCTGTAAATATAGATGAAGCTTTGCTTGCCCACCTGTCACTTTCTGCTGAGCGGCCCAGTTCCTAACAGGCCATGGACCTGTACCGGTCTGCAGCCTGGGGTGTTGGGGATCCTTGACCTATAGGGCTGGGGCTGCAGAAAAATAGAATGGCTGATGCCTCTAGTCATTATAGTTTGTATTTTAACCCTAAATCTTCATTCTAGGAAAATCTGCTTACTATTCTTGACCCTGGTACTGGGGATGAGTGGTATGCTCTTCCTCTAATTCCTTTAATTCCACATCTATCTACTGAGATCAAAGGAAATAACCTCAAAAATATAGAATGGGCCATCAGCAGTCTTGGAGGCTCTTTGGGGACACATTCCATTGTCTTCTACAAGAGTCAGGTCATTTCTAGAACCCCAATGGACCACAGGGGGCTTCGAGGGAGTGCAAGTAAGAGTCATCAAGATGACCTAGAGATCAGAAACTATCTGTGATGCCAGATTCCAAGAATTTTGGATTTTTACTTTTCATCTTGAAAACAAAAGACTGGATAACCTAAGATAATATTTTAAGTATTATTGAGCAGTCCTTTTAAATAGGTGACTGAGTAGTGCTTCATCTCGATTCAGAAACTTGAAAAAAAAACAGAACGCATCTCAAGAAACTAAACTCTCTGCAAGACAGGAAGGTGATTTGCATAGTAGAGTTTCCATAGGATGGCTGTCTTTTTTTTTCTCCCCCCCAACACCCGTAATAGCTAAAGCTCTTGATTCTAAATTCAATGGTTTTATTGACGCTTTCTTCAGGGGTGAAAGGCCCAGGATTTCTCAACATAGCAGTTTAGGGAAAAAGACCGTGTGTTCTAAGAGTGAGGGCAACTCTAACCTTCAGGCCACGATGGCTGAAATCTAGGAAGGCCCACAAAATTTAACTCAGATTAGAACAATATAGCAAGAACCTAAAATAGTAGAGAAATAAAAAGTTCTTTCTCTCCATGCCTATTTCATAACATGAAAACTGACTAAACCTTTCTCGAATGAATAACAACTGGCCTAAAGTAGGAAGAAGGCCAGAAGTGAAAAGCAGGGCCCATCCTATCCCTAACAGTCAGTCCCTCACTACTCAAGTCGCCGGGAATGCTAACCACAGGCCAAGCGGACCCAGCTCCAAAAGTGCCCTGTTGAGAGCTTCCCTGAGCTTGCCCGGCCTTCCCCTGGTCCAACCTCCGCCTGTGTCTCCAGGCTCCTTCCTTCACGTGGCCCAAAGTCCACGCCCACCAGGCCCAATTAGGGTGTAGGGGCCGCGGGGCCTGCTCTCTTCAGGACCAAAGGCCTTCAGCGGGTGCTAGGCCGGGTCGCAGGTGGCTGCCCCAAGGCCCAGGGTTCCATGCCGGCAGTGTGGGCCCGCAGACCTCACTAGGCCGGGACGGCCGTTCCAAGGGAACCAATCAGGCCGGCCCGGGCCTGCATGACACAGCACGATCTGGCCCAGGCCCCGACCCAGGCCCAACGCAAGCCCCGCCTAGGGGGCGCGCGGGTGCGCAGCCAGGCCCAGCCCGGCCCGTGGCCCATCATTCGCCCCTATGCTCTCCTCTCCTGTCTCCCTCTTTCCGGGTCTCCACCTCTTAGACGCGCCCACGGCCGGGCTGGGCCTACCCAGCACGGAAGGGTCCCCCGGTGCGCGAACCCCCAGCAGGCGGGGAGGCGAGCGTGCCCATGCGCGCGCGCACACACACACACACGCACACACACGCACACACACACACACACGTACACATACACATACACACACACTCACTCAGCTCCGGAGGCCATGGCGCGCGCCTCTCTCGGCCGGCAGCTGTGGCGGCCCGCGATTAACGGCTACAAGGGACGGCAGGCGACTGACTGGGCCGGGGCTCGGCTTTCCTGGGCGGGTGGCGAGCAGGGGCGACAAACCCGCAGGCGGCCTCCCTCTCGCTTCCTCCCAGCGGCACCCGGGCGGTGGGCGGGCAACGCTGGCTCCCGATCCGCGAGGGGGCAGCGGCAGCGACGACTCAAACGACGGCTGCAGACGCTTCACTGAGACTGAGCCGAGAAGAGCCGAATCATCGGAAGGAGAGGTGCTCTCACCTCAGCCAATCAGCGCCTGCCCTGGGGACTCCCGCCCGCCTCTCCGCGCCTCTCCCCAGCAACCCGCGTACTAGAGCCAATCAGGAAATCCGCTTGCGGTCTGGCTCCCGCCTCAGGGATGCAACACGCCTAGTAACGCCACGTCAATTGGCCGCAACGCTACGCTTCCTCGACGGATTGGGATTCTCGACCAATCAACGAAATGAATGGGGCCAGATCGACTGGCGAAAGGAGAGCCTTTAATCTCTTGGAGGCGGAATCTCCCACTTGGCTCCAGTTCATTGGCTCCTGAATTTATCCTGTTGGAAGAACCTGGCACAATGGATTGAACTCCTGCATTAGTTTAGTACTGCCGTTGATAACCTACGCACCTACCTTCTTCCAAAACTTGAGGATTCATCCTAATCCCCCTCTCTGCTCCTTCAGAACGCTGGCTCAGGCCACCTAGCACACCAGCTCTTAATCCACTCTACCCTGTTGTCTATCGCACTGTCTGGTAACCCTAATCCCACAGGCTTTAGAGTTCGTCGGAGGTTGAAGTTATATGTTTCCTCTTACCACTGGATATTAATATTAATGGTTGGAGGAGAGAGGGCACTCAAGTTCAGAGAGAGGCAAAAGGCAACCACAGAACACACAGCAGATTCAAGGAGCCTGAAGCAAGAAAATTGCATACTGAAAGTATTAGTCCATGGGCACAAAATGCCAGCTAGCCCTATGTTCAATAGGCAGCTTTGGTATCACACCGACACGTTTGAGACAGTGAAATCCCAAATTTCAAGAATTTGGGATTAGGGAGGGGGGTGGGAAGTCACTCTGAGATACTCAGGTCTGCTTGTCTCTCCCCTTTAAGAATTGAATACTTGCCCTTGTCCTGCTTAGACTACCTTCCAGACCCAACTCCATTCATTCTGTCACATCACACAGGATTCTGGGCTTTGGGGTTCTGCTTTTTAGGCAACGAGAAGAACTAAAGCCACTGCTTCCTTGAGTAAAAATCCCTATAGCCCTTTCTTCTATCCAGACCTCGTTATAAGATAGATGGTGTTGGGGGAGGGCACCTCAGACAACCAGCACTTAACTGAATTAGATAGCTGTGAGCCTTCCTACTCAGTATATGTAACAGGCAGACAAGAGATAGATAAAAGATTTTACTCAACACAAGGAGAAACAGGAAAAAAGGTGCCACAAGCAAAGTCAATGCCTTGTTGGTGGCAGATGAGGGCATGGGGGTGGGGGTAGGGGGTCCTCTGGAACCAGATAGCAGTAACTGGGCCAAAAAATTTTCAAGTCTATTTCCAAAGCCAGACTTATATAGGAATGGTCAGCTCCAGCCATATTCTCCAAGGATGGTAAAGAAGAAAGCCCTCCCCACAGAAAGATAGTCCACCGGGGCCCCAGCTCAGAGTCTTCAAAACATGGCAGCTACAGGTCACAAGTCTCCAGCACAGATGTCCGAAACTCTTCAAGAAGGGTTTCACGGTCAGGAGGATGAATCCAGCTCAAACATGTTTCAAGGTACAGGGGGACACACCTGGAGAGCAAGAAGGATAAGGCCTAAGGCTGAAGGATAGGCAGAAAGATGGGCAGCCATTCCTTCCCTTTCATTCACCACCACCCCAATATACCCAAGGACTCCAGGACACTATCCACTCCTCAGCCCCAAGCCAGCAAGCCTCAGCCTCACCAAGTAGCATTCTCCTGTGGCAACTTAGTTTGGGCCTCCAGCCTCCTCCAGAGAGCGGTGGCCTCATGCCTCCGATCCAGCTTCCTCAGAGTCTGAAGCAGGTGAAAGGAAGCATCTTGATTACCTGTAGTACCACCCCAGAGTACAGAGCTTTAGAATTCGACACAGCCTTAAGCATCATTTTACAAAAGGAGAAACTGAGGCATAGAATAGGGAACTGTCTTGCCTATAGTCACACACTGAATCAGGAGTAGATCATTCCCAACCATTCCTATCCCAATGCACTGCCTGCCAAGGACAGAGGGCTCAGCTGACCCTACGCCTGCCCAACACACTCCCAGTGCAGTCACTGTCTTTGTGTCTGAGGACATTTGGAAGACTGGGAAACTTGAGAGGCCTTCATACACACTTATATATGTCTTGTATGTCTGCACACGTGGGCATGTCCCTAGGTATATACAGCACAACCTTATTCCCTCCTCCTACCTGGAAATATCACTCTTACATTTATCCCCAAGTACCTCCCCATAGGCCTCTCTGTCCATGTGCATCCATGCATAGCTGACGTCATCATGCAAGTATACATACCTGGGCACACCTGTATACTAAGGAGGAAGTCCTGTAGAGCTTTGGTATCCTGATCACTGGCTACCCATTCCAGTCCACGACTAATCAGGGCAGCTGCCCGAAGCTGTTGTAATGCCATATCTGACGTACACCCCTGTTCACAGTTGGAAGCAGGCCCTGGGGGCCACCACTAAAGTCAAGAAGTGTGTTCCCAGCCACACAGTCACCAAAACCCCAGGTGCCCCTTTATCTCATGTCCAGAGTCCCTTTCTCTTAAATATCCTGGTGGGCTGGGACACATGGAAAGGGAACTGGTATCCACCACCACTACTTCCAGCAGGGAAGAGGAAAACCGAGAGTCTGAATCACCTTGTTCTTTGTCCTTGGGTGTGTCCTGGAAGAGTAGCTCAAGGCACCTAAAGTGAGACATTGAGCAGAGGTGAAGAGGAGTCAACCTCAGAAACTCTAGGGTGAGTAGGTAAAAATGGAGCTCACCAATTCAGGTCCCAATCAGAAAATTATCCCTTTACATTTTCCCTAGGACATTAATTGGCTTCCTGTGCTCACCGGCTAAATTCACTAATTGCCTCTTTTTGGGCCCCCAGTCGCACCCAGGCTTGGCCCTGAAGCAGGTGCATGGCAGAGACCCAGGGTGGGCAGTGTGATGACTCCTTGGTTCCTTTTCTGGCATCTTCCCACAGCCAAGGCATCTTGGGAAGCAGAAATGACGTGCGGCTGAACAGTTCTTCACATATGGTCAAAGCATCCTGGGCTCGGCCTGCCTGGATAAGCGCTGCTGCTGCCTCCAAGAACACCTCAGGCATACAAGGCCCTGGGGGGCAGGGGGGTGGGAAGAACTGGGGTGGGAGAAGGATGCAGTGTTTTGAAGAGATGTGAGCCACCACCCTCAACCTCTTCACCAGGCTTTGGTACCACATGGAGACAACCCATTGCTTGCTGCCCTAGACTCCTTGCTCTGGGAAGTCTTCCTGGTTTGGTCTCCCGGATAGGACAGACAGACAACATAGGAAAAACCAGAAAACAGCAGTCCTCTACTACAAAGAAGACTCCAACTCTCTCTCACCCAAATTGCAGGGAATTATGAAGACATACACCCACCTTTGGCTCCGAGTCATCTAGCAATAAAGCCAGCAGGTCCAAGTAATGCTCTGCAGCATCCTCTGCCCTGAAAAGTCATAGCCCATGAGCCTCACATTAGGCTGTTGCAGGGTTCTCCAAGGGATCTTAGCTAACAGAGGGTTGCTCAAGGGCCCTAAGGAGTGGGGAGTGTAGGGTCTTGGGGCTCCAACCCTGCTTGGTATATATCTACCCTACTTACAAAATGGATTTGGGAGGAGACTTCAGAGTTTTAAAGATACAAGTTAGTGTCTGGAGAAGAGTCCTCAGTGCAGGTCCAGTGGCAAGGCAGGAGGCTAAGGAGTAAGGTCATATGTCCTGCCACAGACTTGTCCATCCCCCCTACTCATAAGAATATAAGCAGAGTCACGCCCCAGGGGAGGTATCACAAGTGGGAAGTGGAGCTCATATGAGCAAAGCAGAACCTCACCTTCCTGTCTGTAGGCATCGGCTTGCTAGCAGGTGCTTGACCTGGCTCTGTGTGCCGCAGTGAAGTGGTGAGGCTGGGTCAGGTTGTGGGAGTAACAACTCTACCCCAATAAGAAGATGGGATACTTCTGAGCTATGAGTGATACTCAAGGCCTAAAAGAGACAAAAGAAGAAAGTAAATCTGTAATCTTTGGGAGCCACACTTTCTTCTACTTATTCGACTAGTCGCCCCAACACAAGCACCCCAGTAATCCTTGTATCTTCACTTGCATAGCTCCTTACCTCCACCAGAAGCTCCAGACTCTCTAGCTCCGCTGCTGTGTTCTCCAGTTGCCGATATAACCTGGAGGCCTCCATAAGTGGAGGTCCCCAGGTTGATCCCCCTTTCAGGGCTGCAACCAAGTATAACAGAGCTCTCTGTGGACTGCCCTAGAGGGATGAGAGGACACAAACTTCAGCCACCTTTGCAATGAAAATAGCTATCCACAACACCCGTGGTTTCCCCAACTGTCTTTACCATCTTACGGAGACAAGTCCCTAGGGCTGTGTACACCTGGACCAACACAGGCCGTGAGCACAGACCTGAGGCCGCTTCATGCAGGCTGCTCAGTGCCCTGGGCAGACTCCCTGTTATCAGCTCCTGGAGGCCTGAGGGCAATCAAGATGTGAGCTTACACAGGTCCATAGGGCACAGGGGTTTGGGGTGGGGGTGGGGATTGAGGGGGTTGGGAGTGGGTGATGATGGAGAACAAGAGCACAGAGAAGTTCCACTAAGCTAAATAGGACATGACAGAAAAGGCATGAGCCTAAAGGCCTCTTAAGATGGGGATTGAGGAGGAAAAATTGAGTCAGATTACTGACTGACCTTGGCGATAGGCAGATGCTGTCAGAAGGACATCTCTCAAGCCCCAAGCATCCTGCAGGGTCAATGGGGCATTTGACTCCTTTGCTGGTGGGCTCCAAGTTTTTAGAAGCATCAGCAGATCCTCAGAGGCCTTGCTCTGGGGAGAAAAGTGCCATCAAAGGCTCCAAACCTGAATCACTTCATCTCCTGTCTCAGTCTACTCTGGCTGGTCCTTGAAAGCAAGGGTCCTCCTAAATCCTGTTCCCTCCATTCTAAGAGATTTATAGCTATGGGACAAGGATAAAAGGAGGTAGAAAAACCTGAGGCAATGATAATGTATGGTAGTGCACTTCCTCACTCAGGATAAGTACATGAGGACTCAGGGTAAGGATCATGTTTCGGTTACTGATGAAAAGATTGAGGCTGGGAAATAACTTCAGCAAGGTCATGAGAGACCTAACCCTACCAGCAATCAATAAGCTACTTTAAAAACCCTCCCAAGAGAATCCTTCCAATGAGGGACCAATCAGAGCAAGGTCATCTAAGTCCCTAAGAGAACTCAGGTCTCTAACCACCAACTTCGAAGCCTTTCCAGCATATAATGATGCTACTAAGGCTGGAAGGGATGGGAGAAGGGAAGAGACCTTTAGACCAGGTCACTTCCTGAATTACCTGGCTGTCGTTCAGGGTCTGCAACAGCAAGGTCAGGTCCCCAAGACAGTCAGTGCTCAGCCAGAGGGCAATCTGCAAGCCAGCCAGGTGGTGAAGGGCAGGCAGCAGCTCCGGTAGAAGGGAGGAAGCACAGAGAACGGAGCTCCACAGCCCCCTGAGCCCACATTCCAGCCTGGGCCCCAGCTGTTCCTGGGTCTCCAGCACTGTAGAGTACACACACATACAGCTAAGGTAGGACCTTATCTCTGGCTTTCCTTTTATGCAGGAACCCAAAGGTCATGGAGGCATCAGTGAAAGGCATCTCTCTCTGTGGGAGTGACAGATTATGTTGCTCTTCCCACCCCTTTTGCAAGGACTTAAACCCAGACTGAGGTTGGCAGAAGCATGGGTGGCAATTTCTGGCCCTCACCTCTCTCTAGGCCCCGTTGGATATCCTGTGCCTGGTCCTCAGTGAAACTCTGGGCCAGGCTCGCCCTCAGGGTAATGAAGTTGCAGATGACAGTCAATTCCAAGGGGAGAACTGGAACAGCTGCAGGGAGCCCTGGAGCAACAAATGCTGGTTTCACAGGCTGCTCCCCAATGAAAGATCCCCTGAATAAGATTCCAAACCAGAGATTACCCCACCTCAACCAGAATGGCCTCAATAAGGAACCCACCCCTTGGACAGAAAGTTTGGGAAGGGCAGAAAGTTCTCCAGATTAGACCATCTTGGAAACTACTTCTTCAAATGCTCCTGTTGTGCGACTATGCATAAGGAGAAGAGAGATTCGCCTGTACAAAGACAATTCCACTTCAGTCCTGTCTGTGCCTTAAATCATCTCAATCCCAGAAATGGAGAAGAGAAACTGGTCTCTAGCTGTGGAGGAGGGGAACTGATCATCCTGGGGAGGGCCCTGCTTACCCTGCAGACTATCGAGGAGTCCCCTGAGCCCTTCCAGTGCATCTTGAGCCAACTGCTGTCGCCTCAGAGGCAGACCCAAGTCTTGAGCCACCTGCCAAATGTGGGATGGATTGTCACTGAGGATCAGTCCTTTCCTCTCTTCTTGCAGCAGTGGCAAGGGATATCATTCTCTAGTCATTTCTGGCGTTAGGGGAAAGTAAAGCTCAACCCCTTCCCATGGGCTGGGGTAAATTCACTGCAAACCCTCTTTCTGGTATTTTGGGGCTGCAAAGCGAGGGTCCCAGCAACCGCATTACCTTGGCCTGCCGAACTAGTTGATCATTCTTGTCCCTCCACAGGTCCAGGCAGTTGGCTTGTGGCACCAAGGAGTCCAGAGGGATCTGGTGGGACATAGTGGCCAAAGCTGGTCCTGGACACCTGGAGAGGGCTGCTAAAAGGCAAGCCTGGCGCCGCCGAAGCCCGCACCGGCGCGCAGAGGGGTCTGTGGACTTCCGCACCCCGCCGCGTCTCCTTTGCAACCCTCGGGCTCCAAGCCGGGCGACCTGCCACTGCTGAGAGAAATGTACTCTCTCCTCGCAGCCTGAGGTGGCTTCCACCTCCGCCTCTTCCACCCTAGCCTCTTATTGACCGGGACGGCAAACTCTCGGCTGCGGTTGGTCGTCTTTGAGAGATAGTTCCCGCGGGAAACTCAAGAAAGAAACGAGTCCCGATAGACCAGTGAGGAAGGCGGGGGCGGAGCCGGGGGCGAGGCGGGGCAGGGAGCAGGGGTGAGCCAAGAGCGGAAGGTGCGACTGAGAGGGAAGGCTTGGGACCCACCGTTCTGCCTGCTCGGCCCTCGCCGAAGCCAGAGCTTTGAGAAATCGATCTTGGTGCCAGAACCCGTGGCTCAGCCCTTTCCTCGTTACCACACTTCAGGTCTGTTGGATTTCGCCCTCTGCGCAGGGCAGGCCCGCGCGATGCATGCTGGGAGTCGTAGTGCAGCCAAGAGCCTTCTGAAAAGTCTGGCTCTGGCAAAAAGTGTCTCCAAAAGAAACTGTGACAGGAGACCAAGGCCCTCGAGTAATCGGCCCATCTTTTCTCTTCTCACCATGGAGCACAACACATGCTCACCCAGTCTGCTCAATCGCATGTTTGTTGTCTGACTACTGACAGCGCGGCACTATGTTTGTGCAGCCTGCACTACTCATAACTACCTGCTGAATCCTTGCAACAAATGGAGCTGGGAGAACTGGATACTGTATGCAAAATCAAAAAAAAAAAAAAACTTGCAACCATTATCCCACATAAAATCAACTCAAAATGTCTAAGTTGGACTTCATTAAAATTAAAAACACCTGTGCTACGACAAAGAAAATTCAACTACAAAGTGGTAAAAATTATTTGCAAATCATATACTTCATAATGGACTTGTATCCACAATATATAACTCTCAAAGCTCAATAATAGTTATTTAAACCATTTTAAAGCAGGCAGAAAAATATGAAAGGCATTTTACCAAAAATATTTATGAATAGCTAAGAAGCACATAAAAAGATGCTCAACATCATTAGCCATTGGGAAAATACAAATTAAAATCATGAGATACCACTATGCACATACACACATAGAATGGTTACAATAAAAAAACAGATAATACCAAATGTTGGTGAGAATGTGGAAAAACTGGAAATCTCATACATTACTGGTGGGAATATAAACTGGTACAGTTATTTTGGAAAACAGTTTGGCAGTTTCTTGAAAAGTTAATCATAATCACCATATGACCTAGCAATTCCACTCCAAGGAATCCTCCCAAGAGAAATGAAAATGTATGTCTCCACCAAGAACATGTATGCAAATTCTCACAGCAGTTTAAAAAAATATTCACAACAGCTAAAAATTGGGAATAATCCCAATGTCCATCAGTTGATCACAGCCATACAACGGAATATATGACTCAGCAATAAAAAGGGACAAAAAGTGATACATGGATGAATCTCGGCAACATTATTCTAAGTCAAAGAAGCCAGACTGAAAGACCTCATATTGCATGATTCCATTTATTAAACATGTCCAAAAAAGACAAATGTATAAAGACAAAAAATAGATCAGTGGCCTGGTTGGGGGTTGGGGGGAATTGGGGATTGCCAGGAGCGGAAGGTGCGACTGAGAGGGAAGGCTTGGGACCCACCGTTCTGCCTGCTCGGCCCTCGCCGAAGCCAGAGCTTTGAGAAATCGATCTTGGTGCCAGAACCCGTGGCTCAGCCCTTTCCTCGTTACCACACTTCAGGTCTGTTGGATTTCGCCCTCTGCGCAGGGCAGGCCCGCGCGATGCATGCTGGGAGTCGTAGTGCAGCCAAGAGCCTTCTGAAAAGTCTGGCTCTGGCAAAAAGTGTCTCCAAAAGAAACTGTGACAGGAGACCAAGGCCCTCGAGTAATCGGCCCATCTTTTCTCTTCTCACCATGGAGCACAACACATGCTCACCCAGTCTGCTCAATCGCATGTTTGTTGTCTGACTACTGACAGCGCGGCACTATGTTTGTGCAGCCTGCACTACTCATAACTACCTGCTGAATCCTTGCAACAAATGGAGCTGGGAGAACTGGATACTGTATGCAAAATCAAAAAAAAAAAAACTTGCAACCATTATCCCACATAAAATCAACTCAAAATGTCTAAGTTGGACTTCATTAAAATTAAAAACACCTGTGCTACGACAAAGAAAATTCAACTACAAAGTGGTAAAAATTATTTGCAAATCATATACTTCATAATGGACTTGTATCCACAATATATAACTCTCAAAGCTCAATAATAGTTATTTAAACCATTTTAAAGCAGGCAGAAAAATATGAAAGGCATTTTACCAAAAATATTTATGAATAGCTAAGAAGCACATAAAAAGATGCTCAACATCATTAGCCATTGGGAAAATACAAATTAAAATCATGAGATACCACTATGCACATACACACATAGAATGGTTACAATAAAAAAACAGATAATACCAAATGTTGGTGAGAATGTGGAAAAACTGGAAATCTCATACATTACTGGTGGGAATATAAACTGGTACAGTTATTTTGGAAAACAGTTTGGCAGTTTCTTGAAAAGTTAATCATAATCACCATATGACCTAGCAATTCCACTCCAAGGAATCCTCCCAAGAGAAATGAAAATGTATGTCTCCACCAAGAACATGTATGCAAATTCTCACAGCAGTTTAAAAAAATATTCACAACAGCTAAAAATTGGGAATAATCCCAATGTCCATCAGTTGATCACAGCCATACAACGGAATATATGACTCAGCAATAAAAAGGGACAAAAAGTGATACATGGATGAATCTCGGCAACATTATTCTAAGTCAAAGAAGCCAGACTGAAAGACCTCATATTGCATGATTCCATTTATTAAACATGTCCAAAAAAGACAAATGTATAAAGACAAAAAATAGATCAGTGGCCTGGTTGGGGGTTGAGGGGAATTGGGGATTGATTGTAAACAAAGTGTAGAAAATTTATGGGAATGATGAAAATTTTCTAAATCTAAATTATAGCACTTGACAATGGTTTCTTACATATGATATGAAAAGTATAAGGGACAAAAGAAAAAATAAGATGTACTGGACTTCATCAAAACTTAAAAATTTAGTGTTTCAAAGGACACTATCAAGAAAATAAAACCCCAACCCATAGAATGGATAGAATATTTGCAAATCATATATGTGATAAGGGACTTGTATCTAGAATATGTAAACAATACTTATAACTCAATAATAAAGACAATCCAATTAAAAAACAGACAAAAAATATGAATGGACAGTTCTCAACACCCAGCATCATTAGTCATCAAGGACATGCAAACTAAAACCACAATGAGATACCACCTCACACCTACCAGGATGGTTAGAGTCAAAGATGGATACTAATAAGTATTGACATGTATGTGCAGAAATTGGTACTCTCATACATTGCTGGTGAAAATATAAAATGGTATAGCAGCTTTGGAAAACAGTGGCAGCTCCTCGAAAAGTTAAACACGCAGTTTAACTTTTAAAACAAATTTTAACTTTTAAAACTTTTTAAAAACAATTCCTCAAAAAGTTAAACATAGAGTTACCATATGACCTAGTAATTTCACGATATACCACTAGGTATATACCCAAAAGATATGAAACATATGTCCAAACAAAAACTTGTGTATAGATGTTTATAGTGGTATTATTCATAATAACCAAGAAGTGCAAACAACCTAAATGTCCATAATGGGTGAATGAATAAACAAAATATGGTAATAGCCACACAATGGAATATCATTTGGCCATAAAAAGAAACAAAGTACTGATATGATACATGCTGCAACATGGATGAACCTTGAATACATTAAGCTAAGTGAAAGAAGTGGCAGAAAAAGCCAAATATATGATTCCATTTATACGAAATATCCACAATAGGCAAATCCAGAGAGACAGAAAACAGATTGGTGGTTGTCAGAGGATGGGGGCAAAGGGGTTTGACTGCAAAGGGATGATTTCTTTTGGGGGTGATGGAAATATTCTAGAAACAGTAGTGGTTTGTACATTGTAAACATATTAAGGGCCACTGAACTGTACACTTTAAAATGGTTAATTTTGTTATGTGAATTTTACCTCAACTTAAAAAAAAAAGAAAAATGAAATACTGACACATGCTACTATATGAATGAACCTCGAAAATACTATGCTGAAAGGAGCTGGTCACGAAAGGCCATACATTACATGATCCCATTTTTATGAATAGGCAAATACAGTTCGAAAGTAGATTAGTAGTCGCTTAGGGTTAGGGGTGCAGGTGGGGAAGGATGGTGATAGAAAAGAGTATCTAGTTATTTTGTGGGTTGATAAAAATGTTCTAAAATTGATTGTGGTAACAATTGTACAACTCCGTGAATGTACTAAAAATCATAGAATGGTACACTTTAAATGGGTGAATTTTATGGTAAGTTGTAACTCAATAAAGCTGTTTTTTTAGAAAGGAAACCATAAGTTAGTGTGGAATGGGCTCTGTGATGTCAAGTTAAAGGCAGGAATAAAATTTTTTAATAGTATAAATCAATGTGCTAACATATCTTTCTCTAAAAGAACCTTGTAGATCAGTAGTCCCCAATCTTTTTGGCACTAGGGACTGGTGCTCCTGTAAGAATCTGATGCCTCATGATCTAAGGTAAAACTGAGGCAATGATGCTAGTGCTGGGGAATAGCTGCGAATATAGATGAAGCTTTGCTAACTCTTCTGCTACTCACCTGCTATGTGGCCTGATTCCTAAAAGACCACGGACCAGTACCGGTCCTCATCCCGTGGGTCGGGGACCCCTGTTGTAGATCAGGAGAAAAGGAAACAGTGGTTGGCAGGTCAGATTATCCCTAGGCTCCAGGGAAGAGGGTTCCCTGAAAAGAAAAAGGGGGGAGGGCTGAACACAGGATGAGGGACCGGGGTCTGAAATCCTTCCTATGGGTGATAAGGATAGAGAAGGGGTCTTTATTTCTTCTCACAAAGGCACTGGCTACTCACTAAATGATGCTTGGGAATCGTGTCCACTAGTTTGAGGGAGAGGAAGGGGTTTTTTCCTAATTCATCTTACAGGCTAGCTGGGCCTTGCATTATTAAACCTATTTCTTCCAAGTAACCAATGTCCTATCCTCTAATTGCCTGAAACAGTACACACTTTCACCACTGTAGCACTAGGGACTGTTGGCCATTAATAATTAGAACTCTTCCTTTACAGCAGTGAATGCCTTTACCTTACAATCGCTGCTACTCAGCCTCTTTTCTTCCTCCTGCCAAGTAAAGGTAGGTGCTGTCCTGCAATTTTAACATCTGTTCTCTTTCAGTAGTCTCATGTCCTCCTGTCCTGGGTATGCTCAAACCCTAGTCCTGATCCTTCTTCTCAGAGCCTCTTCCCCACTCCTTTG